AACTCCTGTTCTTTCCCTCGCCATACCCACACAATTCTCCACAACAACTGATTTTTTTCTGCTACACCCGGCTACGCTGCATCGCTTCTTCTTGTTTACTACTGGTGGTTGGCTTTGGTTGCAGTGCCGCCACCTTCTGCTCTGGAGTGTTAACGCTTCGCCTATGAGAAAAAGGAGCCATGCATGAACCGAACGCAACACACGCGAACCGAACCGAGACAGTTTTCATAAACGGTTCCATCCCTAATATATATTAAAAAAAAATATATATATATATATATATATAATATAATATAATAGGGCAAAAATAGCAAAGGCTGATGTGAAATCTGTCCAGTTATACAACTCAATTAATCCTCAACAGAATAACTAAAATAAAACACAAGGGAAAAGAAAAACATCTACAGAAGAACACCTATGATTGCTTTTCTTTTTATTTGAATCAAATTGCTGGAAAATAATCTGTTTGCTGTTGTTTCTTTTCTGGCCACAGCAGAAGCAAAGCTTATTAAGTCAACTACAGATGGAGAGGTTTTTGTTTTTATATGACGGCATCCTTTTTGTTTTGTTTTCTCTCTGTGTTTTATATGTATTGGTAGTAAAATTTCTCTGATGGCTGAACTCTGCTGAACTACATGCAGTTCTCAGAATGAGCTGTAGGTGGCAGGAAACCGGGTTTTGAATGTTTGGTCTTTGTGCAGCCCTCTCTCCTTTCCTCCTCACCCACGAATGTGACCTTATGCTTCTTTATTGATTACAGGGATCCAGCTCAAAGGTCAGCGCACCGGCTGCAAGCAAGACACCGGATGAAGAAGACCTGGCCAAAGGTAAGATAGATGTCGCACATTTTACTGTTTGGCGCCTTATAGCCATTTTAATTGGTAATTTTAATACTATTTTTGTAGTCATATTTTTAATTTTTTTAATGATCTATCTTTCTTTTTAAATGGACAATATCTGAGGATTTAGAAACTGTCTTTTTTTTCTCCACCCTCTGCAGCCATTGAGCTGTCCTTACAGGAACAGAAGCAGCAAGCGGAAACACGACCTCTGGTCCTGACCCCCGACCCGCCACACAACACAAACGGGGGAGGAGGTCAGGAGACGCGAAAAGCGCG